GCTTGCGGGGGTGACCCGGCCGACGTGCCCAATGCGCTACCCGCGGCCTCCTCGCTTCCTCCTAGTCCTCCGTGCTTCGCCTTCCCTACTCCCCACCCTTCCTCCCCTCTCTCCTCCCCCCAGCCCTCCTCTCTTTCTCTCTCCCTCTCGCCATCCCTCCTACCCGCCCTTCCCCTTCCCCTCCTCGGTCTCCACCCCCACTCGCTCCTCCCGGCTTCCTGCCATCTCTCTTTCGGCCTGCTCACCACCCTGGCGCCCCTCTTTCCAGCAAGCGCCAGACTCGCAGCTCGGATTCCTTACTCCTCAGGGCAGGGCGTAGGGCACCCGCACCCCACAGCCAACCGCCGGCCTTCCGCTCTATCCGGCTTGAGTGAAGTTTGCCACATCTGGAGCCGCCCTGCTCGCCCTGCTCGCCCTGCTCGCCCTGCCTCCCCGGCTCCAGTCCAGCCTTGGAAGGGAAAACTCTTCTGGAACTGTTCTTCCATTATCTGGCTCGGCCTCGTTCTTTTTCTCCTGTTATAGCGCCCACCGGGGCCTTCTGGCTCTTCCTTAGCACTGGAGGAGAGCAGTGCTGGTGTTGAACTTACATCCATTCCCACCTGGACATCCAGAGTATCCGGCTAGTGCCCACCTCAGACTTAACGTGTACAAAGCTGGTCTCAGACTTTGTCTCAGCCATCTGAGTGCTCTGTGTCAGAGAAAGAGACCATCACCCAAAGGCCCCACTGCCCCTCCCACACGCCACAAAGCAAGGTCCTATCACACTAATCACTTTTTTTCCCAACCCTCTTTGCCACGCCTCTAAGCCCAGATTAAAAATATGCTACCCAACACAGCCAAGACACAAACCCAGGTCTATGAGACAGCAAAGCCCATGTGCTTAATCAGTAGGCCAAGCGGCCTGTAACGAAGCCTAACGATGCTTCACATTATTGCTATTACTGTGCTTTACAAATTCCGCCATCCCCAACCATTTTGGCGCCAGGGACGGGTTCTCCTAAGAGAATCTAATGCCTAATGATCTAAGGTGGAGCTGAGGCAGTGATGCTAGCGCTAAGGAGCAGCTGCAAATACAAATGAAACTTCCCCGCTTACCCGCTGCCCACCTCCTGCTGTGCAGCCCAGTCCCTAAGAGGCCACAGACTTGTACGGGTCAGCGGCCTGAGGGGTGGGGACCTCTGATGTAGAGGCTCCGGCTGCAGGCCCTGGAGGCAGACTGCCTGGCTGGGCATCACTGCTTTATCAGTCCCTAGTGCTGGGACCTCTTCATGCCTCAGTTTTTTCATCTGTGAAATCCTAACATTCAGCAAGTGGATGTTAAGCACTTATTAAGTGCTGGGCTCCATGTTAAAGGTTAAGGATACATAATATATATGTGATCATTATGAACTGAATACTTACTATTCACTAGGCACTCCGCGAGCCCTTTATATTCATTGTTCTACCTAATCTTTATACCGACTCTATAAAAAAACTGCTATTAGCTCTGATTCACTGATGGGGAAATCTGGGCTTTGGAGGGTTAAAGAAGTTGGCCATGTTCACAGAGCTGATGGGTGACAGTTTAAAAAGGAACCCCAGGTGTGGCTGACTCCAGGCCCACATTCAAAGTGCTTTTATATACTTTCCTATATTTTATTCTCAGTTGCTCTTACAGGGACCCAGAAAGGTTATGTGACTTGCCCAGAGAAACAGAACCAGTAAGTGTCAGTGTGGAGACTCAAACCTAAGTCTTCTGACCCCAGTTTTGGGCTTTTCCTTCAGCATCCCTTAGCAACCCCAGGAGGGATGTCCTCAGTGCCCTCAGGTGCAAGCCAATCTTTAGAAGGGCTGGCGGTAGGACGGGCAGCTGGGGGCTGAATCTGGGTGCTGGACTGATGATAGCAGGTAATGCCACACAAACTGTTACTGTCAGTGGGGAACCAAACCCAATAAACATTTACAGGGTGAGAAGAGACTCCTTTCTTCTAAAAAAGGCATCTGGACATTTGAGGGTGGGGTGCCACCTGGTGGGCACAAACCTTCAGCCTCATCAGCCAAGTCCTGCTCCCTACAAGGAAGTCTTTGCGGTTGCTTTGGGGAGATATTTTTAGCCTCTGGATTCCTGAAGACGTTCCAAGGGGCGGCCCAGCAAACTCTCTGCAAAAGCTTAACCAAACACAAAGATCTCGATCCCTCCAACTCAAAAAATATGGTGTAAGTACCTGCTGGATGCAAACAATCTGGGCTTGAAATGCAGGAAAAGGACCAATTCCTACTCTCAAAGTGTTTGCGCTCTGCTGGTAGGGGAGGTACAGCTGTGGACACAAAAGAGGGGAATAGGTGAGAATTATAAGGAAACACAATAAGAAAAGAGGGAGTATTGTAACGGGAGACTGGGGAAACCTGCAAGAACAAAATGTCATTTGAAAATGGATAGAATTTTGACAAGCAGAAATGGGGGATGGGCACTGTTGTGCAAGGCAGTCCACCATGAGTTCTGAGCGTCCCTGGATGTTATCACTGAGTATGCCAAGAATGCAACCCCATGGCTGCTTTTTCTCCAGACATTTCTCAGTGTTGTGTTTGCAGCCAATAACTTTGAGGGATGAGGGAACAGCGTCCAGACAAAGAGGAAGCTTGCTTGTTGCCTACTATAAAAATGGTTTTGATAGGAGTGGACAATGTTGGTTTTCCCAAGCTCTGTGCTATGATGTAAACCCCCTGCATATGTAACATCCACCTGGGCCCCTCTATGTTTCTCCCATGAAACTTGGGAACAAGGGAAAGATATGTAACAATAATGCTCACACTGCTTGCTGTGCTAAGAGGGTTAAGTCCTTTGTCTCCAGATCAGGAATCCTACATCTTCTGCCAGCATTTATGAAACGACAGCAGGCTAGCTTGTTAGCTTGTAAGGAGGGTAAATTCCAGACCCTGATAGATGTTCTAGGCTGAGGAAATATGTGAGCAAAAGCGGGACTTAGGTTGTTTAGTGAACAAGGAGAAGTGATTCTTGATGGATACTCTAAGCTCCAATGTAATAATTTTCAATATACTCAGAGGGGAAGGCTACTTGTAACAAAGAGGAACACGTGCCCACCCTGAGATCCCATCTCTGAGCTACTGTAAATGCACTGCATAGATTGACTCAACTCACACTGGTTTAACACCCATGATGTGCCAAGCCCCGAGCTGGCACTTGACACAAATCATCTAACAGTAGAGTCAAAATGCATAATGAGAAAAATGGGTGCCTTGACCTGCAGAATCTTGCCTTGAATCTTATCTTTAAATTACTAAATAAACATTCCTTGAACACCTACTATGTACCTACAATTGTGTTCTTGAGCTGGATGAGACCTTAAAGGAAATTTGCTCTAGGCTTCTCATTTTATGAGGGGGCAACCGAGGCCCAGAGAAGGTAAGTAACTTGTTCCAGATCACACAGCTGGTTGATAATGTGAGTGCCACGTTTATAATTTAGGTCTCCTGATTCAATCCAGTGTTCGCTCTATGACACCATTGGTACAGCATTTAGTAACTATGGGTGACCAAGGTAGGTGCCCCTGAAACCACATCAAGAGGCTTCCCATGAAGTGCTCAAGATTACCTCCTGCTGGGACCTGTGATGGGGATGCGCAGACCCCAGCAGCCCATATTCCTGGGGGAAAAGAGGGGCCTCACCTGTGAGAATGGACAGACACCTTGAACCAGGATGGATTGAGTCAGTCACCATTCTGCCAGTCAGCCTTGGATAAAACCGGCAGCAGCTCAATAGTAGTAACCAACATTTGCAGAGCACTTATCATGTGCCAGGCACCATGCCAGGTGCTTTCCACACTTGTTTCATTTACTTCCCACAGTAGCCTCATGAGGTAGGGGCTTTTAAACCCACCATCACTTTAAAATGAGGAAACCGAGTGACAAGGAGGTTATGTGACTTACCTATCGTCACACATAGCTAGTGGAGAATGGAATTCAAATACTTTATTTCCAAATCCAGGTTTTTAATCACTGCATATGTGGGACTTAGGCTTTGGTATAGGAAGAGACAAGACATCATAGGATTGCCCCTGAGTGGCAACAAAGTAAACGGCCCCAATTTTGTGGAGACGGTCAGTGGGTAGGGGCCAGGCAAGAGGCCATGAGAGTAGGTGTGGTTGATACAGACCTCAAAATCTGCACTTAGAGAGCCTGACTGCATATGCTGTTTCCATTTCCCACCCTGATATGCAAGGGGCCCAGGAAAGAGAAATTTCTTCCCTTAACTCCCTAACCCACCCATGGCTGGAGCTTTACAGTAGAAGTGGGCCCCAAGGGCTGGGCTGGAGCTCAGGGTCCCCATCAGATGATGCTCTGTGCTGGCTGTTTAACCTGTATCACCTCCTTAGCCCTTGTAACAACCTTGTGAGGCAGGTAATTCATTATCTCCACTTGACAGTTGAGGAAAATGAGATTCAGACAGATTAAGTAGGAACTAAATTTAAATTTCCAGACCACTAGACATGTTACGGCTGCCTTAGATTCTCTAAGTCTGCTTTGACTGTGAACTTTCCTCTAAGTCTCACAAAGACTCTTCACAAGATGTTATCCAGTCAAACAAAACAGTAAAAGCAAATGTGGACGCCCCTCCACTACCACTTAGGCTTCCAACCTCCCGTTACCACTGGAGCCTCTTAAAGATGTGGTGAATCATGGAGATTTCCCCCAACTCTGGTTTTCTCTCTGCTGCCAAGAAATCCACCCCGCCCCCCACAACCCAGACAGGTAGAGTAAGACACTGCGGCCACAGTCCAGAGAGATCAAAGATCACAGAAATTGGCTCTTGCAATTATGGAGGCAAAC